CTGTTGTTGTGTTTGCATAAATGTGCAAGTTCAGAACCTTTGTCGTGGTGCTTAGTTCATCTATGACTTTTTTGGGTTGCAGATGTGATCGAAGAATTGATTAGTAGGGGACAGCAGGTTGATGCTGTACATTTTACCTATGAAGTTGGCCTTGCAGACAAGTTTCCCCCAATTCCTTTGCTGAAAGCTTTTCTGAAGGATGCTAAAAAGGCTGCTACATCAATTTTGGAGGATCCCAACAATTCTGGTCGTGCAGCGGTATGCTCTTTTTTCTAATTTACTAATCTAGTTTTGTAATCTATGCTCGGGTATATCCTTATTTTTTTAAATTAGTAATACCTGTGTTGATGAACTAGTTTGTCTCAAATGGTTAATATTATTGGAGGTCACTCAACTTTAAAAAGTCTCAATTGGATCACCCAACTTTAAAGAATCTCAATCAAGTCAACATCTGACAGAACAGCCATACGACCTACATGCACCATGAAACACTACATGATTGAAATCTTTACTTTAGTAAAATTGAGCGTTTTTGGTGACTCGATTTCCTCAACTCAAAAACCCTTCTTTAATGGCATATTGGCATTCACATGTTTATATTATTTGCATGTCTAAACTAAATGAACTCCGGCTTATGTGGCATTTTGTTTGATTTTAATGTCTATGCAAACAAATCCCGTCATATGCATTAATGGCATTCAACGGATGCACGGACACTTCTATTGGGATGGAGTGTCTGTGTGGGACACAGACATTTTGACATGGATCCACTAAGCATCATGCCATGTCCTATTTTTATATATTCTTTAAAATTCTAACACTCAAGGGATATTGGATTTGAAATTAAAGTAAAAGTTTGGTGACAATATTAACCTCATGTTTGGCAAAGCTTATAATTGTTTATGAGTTGGTGAAACTCTATTTTTATCCACACATTTAACTGGATTCGCAACTTTTACATGCTTTTTAACCACACATTCATTTGCCCCCACTATTTATAATCATTAATTAGCTCTTGCCAAGCGAGCATTAAAACTTTTTAAAGTTGGGTGACCTGATTGAGACTTTGCTCAAAGTTGTCTGACCTCTACTAAAATTTACCCTCGTCACAAAATATTGTGTGTTTCCTTGTTAAAGTTGGACTTTGCAAAGCTATTATCTCTGTTAATAATAAGTTTCCTTTAACAATAGAGTCTGTACAATTCATGGACATCATCTTGCTGTAGTGACCAACAGCCACCATTTATGCATTTCATAGCATGGTGTTTGTTGTGCATTGTTTATCTCTATGACAGCCCTTAAAGTTGCTTCCATTGTCTGGTTTTTTGGCAAAGCTATTATCTCTGTTAATAATAAGTTTCCTTTTAACAATAGAGTCTGTACAATTCATGGACATCATCTTGCTGTAGTGACCACAGCCACCATTTATGCATTTCATAGCATGGTGTTTGTTGTGCATTGTTCATCTCTCTGACAGCCCTTAAAGTTGTTTCCATTGTCTGGTTTTTTTGTGCCTTCTTTCTACAGCATCTAGCTGCCAAGAAGGAGCAATCGGCAATTCGTGCTGTTCTCAAGTGCATCGAGGAGTACAAACTCGAGGGTGAATTACCATCCGAAAATCTTAAGAAGCGCCTTGAACAACTTGAGAAGACCAAGAGTGAGAAAAAGAAGTCGTCTGCAAGCCCCCCTGCAGCCAAAAGAACACGAGCTAGCAATGGAGGCCCAATGCCTCCTGCCAAGGCAGGCCGTTCAACAAATGCTTACGTCTCCTCTTTCCCACCGCCTCCCACATTCATCAGGTCGCCTTCACACACCCAATACGCATCTCCACCATACCCCACATCACCTGCCATGTATGGGCATGGAAATCGGAGTCCCTCTTATGCATACTCTCCAGAAGCCACCCCTCCTACCCTTGTTGGGACATATCCAGGCACTCCAGTGAACTACATTTCATATGGAGGCTATGGCAATGGAATGGCACCAGCTTACCCCCAAGCTTACTACTGATGGACATAACTGGATGGTAACAACTGATATGATGACTTAATCCAAATGTCTTTTTAATGTTCTGTAATCACTAACTTTTAATAGTAGCTTTGTGTGTGTTAAATCCTCCTTAATTACTGACCTTCATCAAAGGCAGGCTGTATTTCTGAATTGTTGAAACTTGTAGTAAATAGGTGGTTGTGATTAAGGAATATGCTTGCTAGGACTCGGATTAATAGTAGGAATGACGGGATATATCTAGCCTTACCGTAGTTCTGAACTTTTTTATTCAGGACTCCCTAATTTTCGTGTAGGAATAATTGTCCTCTGGTCCGCAAATTGTTGCTAATGTAGCAAGTTAGCCTCCAACCTTTTGATTATAGTTGCACGATCCGGTCCCAATAAAGAATATTGTCTGGTCTTGTCCGGTTGTGGTCCTTGTACGTGAACTTTTTGAAAGCTAGATTTTGCTTAACAACTCGAGGTGCCCACTAATTTGAAGTGAGGCTTGTTTTCGATTTTGCTTAACAACTTGAGGTGTCCACTAATTTGAAGCGAGGCTTGTTTTCGTCAGTCATATAACAAATCGGTGAAGATCAAGACGGTTTTCATCTATTTTGGAACTATAATATGAGGTTAGTGAATTAGATTGTTCCTCTTAAAAGTTTGTCGACCCCATTTGTTACTGAGAAATTGTGTACACCTATGTGCAATTTTCCTTTCTACATATTCACGAGTATATCAAGTTATATTTTAGCTATTCAGAAAGTATGCAGATTGACTATCCAAGGAAAACATTTTAATAAACGTGTTAAAACGTAAATGTTGACGGGCACGAGTGCCACGTACCCTGTCTCGCGTGCATGGTCATTCGAGGAGCCTAACGTGCAATTTTCCTATTTTTATACGAACACCTTTTGGAAACCAATTTTTGACATTTTTTAACAACGAACAACATCATACATCAAATGATCTCTCTCCATCCTTTATGTACACATCCACATCATAAAACTCGTCAAAAGCAAGAGGTCAATTCACACTCTTGAGAGTGAGTATCAAAAAAATGTAGGACAATTGCATCCAAATCTTGAGGAATCAAGATTCGGGATTGAAGAGCAAGAACGCGAAAGATACTTGAAGATGATCTCAAACATGACATCTTTTCCTTTTTAAGATCATTACCGATACAAATTTTCCTAATATGTCAAACACAGTTAACTCTCGAGGTTCAAAGCACATCTTTGATAAAAAATTATAGCAACGGACAAATTCTATTAAT